AATTTTAGTTTGTTTATCCATTATGGGGTCAGGAACACAGTTGAAATCACCCATAATTACTAAGGTGCCTTTAGCGATTTTATCTACTCTATTCAAAATTTTTGCAAATAAGGAAGTCGGGTTAACATTATGTAAATAGATATTAACCAAAGTGTATATTTTGTCTTCAATATTACAGGTCATTATTAGGAATCTGCCAAACAGGTCGCTATCCTGGTATAATACTTCGAGCTTTAAGTTAGAATCAAATATAATCGCAACACCACATCTTTTTTCATTACTGAGAGATGCCTGATAAACATGTTTATATTTAGTACCACACCAATTTTGTGGCTTTGATTTTATCCACTGAGTTTCTTGAATAAACCCCACTTGAATAAAATTGGTTTCTAAAGTATCATAAAACGTCTCTTTCTTCCACCGTTAATTCAAGCCTTGTCATTGATAGATATACATCTTAACATTTACTGTTAGAAGTTTCTAGAAATTTACTCATTTTAAACTTCACCACTAAACCGATCAAAATAACCAACCTTGAACCGACCAATTTATATTTTATACCATAAGTACAATCATCCAACGAAAACAATACAAAATGAAATATAAAAATTTCATCAACATTAAACACAAAATTTACCCAAATACTAACAGTCATGGGTTCCTCAATCTTCTCAATTAATTGGAAGATTTAACGATATCTGTGAAATTTCCACAGAAAGAGGGGCTTAAGTCACGGTCACCGGGAGATTAATATGTCAGATTGTTTAAAGGGAAGAAAGAAGAAAAAAAAGTATCTTTATTAATATTTAAAACTTGTGACTATATTTATACCCATGAACCAGCTTATGCACACCACCAATATTACGGGCAATCAGTGCCTACATTACAGACAACTCACACACTTCATCCAAACTAATCAATTACTACCGAGAGGAAGTAGAGATCTAACGGAATTCAAATTATTATGCTCTACTCACTCCCTTAAGACTAGAGTCCTCTCCACTATGTACAAACTATTGCAGGACTTACAAACCACAGCTCTTCCCAAGCTCACAGACAAATGGTCTGAGGAACTCAACATTAACTTCTCTCACCAACAATGGAGGTCCATCTTCATTACGATACATAAATCTTCCATCTCAACTATATCCCAAGAAAGCAACTATAAAAGAATCACTCGCTGGCACCTAACCCCTGAGAAAATCCACAAAATACATAAAACCCCAGATAACACCTGCTGGAGATGCTCACGTCCCCATGCGCATCACGCTCCCATCTGGTGGCAATGCCCTACAATCGAGAAATTTTGGAGAAGGATCCACACCATTATCCAATCCGTCACCAAATCCCAACTCCCTTTCACGCCAGACCTCTTTATCTTTATGGTGACCCCACCAGCCATGAAAAAGCCAACCAGGTCCCTGCTCACACATCTACTCATAGCTGCAGCACAACTTATACCAAAATACTGGAAGAAAGCCGACCTCCCTCGAATTAGGGAATGGATAGGGAAGGTAGACTTTATCAAACAAATGCAGGAGATAATGTATGCCAGATCCAAAAACTTTGACCGATTTACCACTACCTGGGAGCTATGGAATGAGTTCATGCTCTCCAAACCTCAGATCTCCTAACGAGCCCACCCGAATATACTCTCTTAGAACCACATGTCACAATATAGGCACACAGTCACCCTCACCATTCTGCCTACTGTTTCTTGAACTCTCGGCCTTGCAGCTTCGGGCACCAAAGCATATCTGAGATGCTAAATTTTTACTGGACACCTGAGTTAGGTTAAACCGTACCTTTCACTGCTTTACATGCTTCTTACCTGCAACAACATGTCACAAGGGAAATAGCGTTTATTTGTGCACTTGATACGTCACGCAACTATTGTCTTCGTGCATTGGTACTGACGAATGTATGAACTTTGTAAGCTAAGTATTGTACTTAATTCTCTACACGCTTGTAGTACTGCATCCAACAATAAAAATAACATAAAAAAATAAAAAACTTGTGACTATATGAGAATTTTGAATTATTAAATACATCCATATCTGTGGTACTCTGCAATTTGCTTTTACAATTTGTGTTTTATTAAGATATAAAGTAATTACCCTTTATTGTGTTTATATTTATTTCTACCCCAATTTTGTGAGAAAATAAATAAATGAATTACGTGAGCATCCTCATACAGTGTTGTAATATTTAACTATGTAATATTATTAAGCTTAACCTAGTTAAGACGGGTTTATTTCTTAGCAAGGCAGGATAGCTGCCTTTAAAATGCTTCTCCTACCCAAATTCCAGTACCTTCTTCGTACACTACAAATCCCCCTTCCTAAACAATACCTGTCCAATATACAAAAAGTCGTGACCAAATTTATAAGGGCAAATAGACGACCACGGGTGGCAGCGGCCATCCTTCAACTTCTATTCTCCAAAGGAGGGTTAAGCCTACCAAACTTAAAAACCTACCACAAAGAAGCGATACTAGCCTCTATGGTAATGACGCACAAGATGACGGAGACCTCTCAATGGGTGGAAATCAAATACTTCTGGTCCTACAGACTTGGGGTACATCTCCTATTTTAGATCCCTAGACCATGGGTAGTCAACCTGGTCCCTACCGCCCACTAGTGGGCGGTTTGGGATTTCAGGTGGGCGGTGGTGGGTTCTGTAGAAAACTCCCAGTGGGCCTAGTTCTTTTCATCTCCCGTGCCGGCCCATGCAGAGCCAGTCTTGCTGTAAGCATTCTCGGGCTGGTGATGAGATTAAAAATGTTCCACACTGGCCCGCTGGCACTTAGTTCCAGCAGAGGGAGGAAAGGGCCTGGGAGCCTCTGTGTTCCAGCCTGGTCAGATCGTTTCCGTGCGTTACCATGGCAACGCTCCAATACAGTGCTGTGCTTGCAGAAGGACAGGAGAGTCCGCCTACAGCCAGAGGAGTGGCAGGCCAAAGTGAACATGCCACCACTGGACCACCAGGACTTGCATTATCACTTGCTGGTAAAAGGTAAGAAGAAAGGAAGGGGAGACATTAACAAACACAGACACACACAGACTGCCCCATCACAAACTACACTCCTCTCACACACAGAATGCCCCCCTCACACACACACACTGCACCCAGGGCCGGATTAACATAGGGGCTGATGGTGCTGCAGCTCCAGGCCCAGGCCCAGGCCCATGGAATAGGCCCAATGATTTGAAGAAAAAATAAAATAAAATGTTTTGTCCTTTTTTTTTACACATTACTCTTAGGGTTGCCACCTGGCTGGTATTTTATGGTATTTGAGGCTGCCTGGCCAGTGCCAGTATTGCAGTAAAACCGGCAATACAAATGCCGGCATATTTCTATGTATAAACAGCAATAACTGCGCTGGCCAGTAGGGGTTACTGTGTGTGGAGAGAGGCAGGGAGTTACAGCATATCCCTGCCTCTCTCTACTCACTGATCCGCGGGTGAGCAGCTACACAGCACAGAGAGTTCAGACTGCAGCTCTCAGCCTGCAGAGACAGCCTACAGCTCAGGGAAGTGAGGGATGGGGTAAAAGCTGCAGGGAGACATGGGGACACTGGGTGGCCTGGGCACACTGAGACACCTGGGGACACCGGAAGATCAGGGGACACTGGGAGACATGGAGACACTGAGACACTGTGTCCCTAGTGTCTGTGTCCTCAAGTCTCTGTGTCTCCATATCTCCCAGTCAGTGTCCCTAGTGTCCCTAGTGTCTCAGTGTCCGCATGTCTACCAGTGTCCCTATGTCTCAGTGTCTCCCAGTATCCCCTAGTGTCCCAATGTCTCACAGTATTCCCATGTCTCTTAAGTGTCCCCTAGTGTCCAAGGGACACTGGGCAACATGGGGACACGAGGGGACACTGGGAGACATGGGGCACTGAGACATTGTGCTTCATAGGGATACTGTGATACATAGAAGACACTGAGACATGGGGACATGAGGGGACACTGGGACACATGGGGCATTGAAACACTGATGCATGGGGGACACAATCACTAGAGGATACTGGGAGACACAAGGACACTAGGGGACACTAGGAGACAGGGAGACACTGGGAACAATCCATCTTTTATTCAATCCATCTTTTATTCTTTTATTCAAGTAGTTTTTTGGTGATTTTACAGAATTATCTCTCAGGTCACTCCTTGTAATTTACAAGCATACGTAATTAATTATGCAAATTAGTAAGGCCGGTATTTTTTTTCCAAGAAAGGTGGCAACACTAACTATCCTTCACATACTCTTGCTTAAGTATGGAAACTTTAGAGGGATGTATGGGAACAAAACTTGTGTGGAGTGACTGACAATGAAATTAGTTAAGGTAAAGCGGACTTTGTGCACAATGCAAATGATCTTGCTGCTTCAGTCTCTCTAACACTATGGCATGTTCCCGTTCTTCTACACTCACTTCATACAGCTTTGTCCCAGATTGTATACCAGGAGCTTCAGCCTGCTCGTAAGGAGGTTAGGAGAGGAATGGACTAGCGAGTGCTGGGGATAGTCGTTAGAAAGTGTGGAGCTGTGTGTGTGTGGGGCGGTAGGGTGCTGTGTGTGTGGGGTGGGCGGTAGGAGTGCTGTGTTTGGGGGTGGGGGGAGGGGTGCTGTGTGTGGGGATGGTGTGTGTGGGGGGGGTAAACGTGTTTAAAATGCAATATATATATAAAAAGGGTCAAATTTAAAAAAAGAAGCACCTGTGTAGAATTTTGCATATTCTATGTTTCTGTTGATTATGTATGGATGCCTGGATTGACATAAGTAACAGATGGTATCAATAAGTCACATGGCTTTCTTTGTCTGAGAAGTTTGGAATTTAGATTGGGGGTCTTGTCCTTATATGGCTAGAGTTAAACTCTGACGTCAGTATGGGCACATCTATATAGTAACTGAACAAAGGGACACGAGGTCTCTCTGTCTCTCTCTCGCTATGTAGCGATGTAACTCTCCCTTCAGGAGTCCAGCAATTACCATCTGCTGTTGAACGTCCATTATCCTATAACATCCTTTGTTGTTTTATTATGTATCAGTAACTAAGAATAAACCTGAAGACACCGTAAGTCAGATTGCGTATTAGTACTTTTCATTAATATAGATGTATATTAATGTGTGGAGCCTTTGACCCAAGACTATATATAAAAAAGAGACGTATATATCAATCAACTGAAGAAAATAATAAATTAAGAAGGGAAGAATATTTTACAACCTGCACTTAGAATTTCCAGTGTAGGTGGTTGAAGGCCTTTTCCATGTTAAGGGAAGGTACCAAACCTCCCTCACTCTTTTTTCTATGGCTGGAGATTATATCTAAGACCTTTGCGAGAATTGTCAGTGCCATGTCTGCCGGCGATTAAGCTTACTTGATCATTGTGGATGATGTAAGGTAGAATTTTGGCAAAGATTTTGGCGAATAATTTTGCATCCGTGTTAAGGAGCGAGATTGGTCTAAAATTTTGGGGGGCTTGCCGGGCTTTGAGTTACGATATGTGCTACTAACATTTCTGATTTTACTGCTTCCGTGAAAGCCCTAACTAGGTGCAGATCTAGTGTAGATTGGAATGTTTTGTAACAGGAGTTATCTAGTCTTCCAGGGCCAGGTGATTTGCCAGATGGTAAGGCTTTGATGACTTCGCTAACCTCCTCCTCATCTACAGAGTTTGAAAGAGTTTTCTGCTGTGTTTGTGTAAGGCGTGGCAAGTTGATTGTGTCTAGATAAGCGTTGATCTTGTCCTCTAAAGGTTGGTGGGTAGTTCCATATTTCTTAAGATTGTAAAGGTCTGCATAATATCTGGCAGATTCATTGCTGATCTCCTGAGCTATCATGCATTTTGTCCCATTTGGTTTAACCCCTTAAGGACCAAGCTTCTGGAATAAAAGGGAATCATCACATGTCTTGTGTCCTTAAGGGCTTAAAAAGGTATGCTATTTTTTGTTTGGTCTGTTCTTTTAATCTGGTGGCTAAGAGTGTGCTTGCTTTGTTACCTTGCGTGTAGTTTGTGGCTTTCAGTTTTTTAAGGTGGACATTTTGCATTCTAGAGGCTTTTGGTGGATTTTCCTGGTGAGATTCATAATTTTGTCCCTCAGTGCAGTGGTGGGAGTTTCTTTATATATGACGCTTGGTGAATGAGTAGTCCTTGAAATACAAGTTTGTGTGCGACCCATAAAGTACTACGGGGAGTGTCCGGTGTAACGTTGTCTGCGAAGTGATGTTGGAGAGCCATGTTCAGTTCGTCTCTGAATTGTGTGTTATGTAGTAAAGAGGTAATTAACCTCCATGTTGTTTAAAGTCGTATAAGTCTTTTAAATCTAAGGTGATGGGCGCGTGGTCGGACCAAGTGATATCGCCTATGTCACACTTAATCTGATTATGAGAACTCCCTAGCATGAGAAAACCATCTATTCTGGAATAGGAATTGTGTACTGGTGAGAAGGAGTAGGATTTTTCGGTGACGTGTGCCAGTCTCCACGCATCATAGTAGTTTTTGTATAGCTTTGCTTTGGAGTTTCAGGGGTCGGTATCTGGCGCTGGATGGTGGTGTTCATCTGGGGGTTTATATCTTGTGTAGGAAGTTACGTTGGTTTGCGGCGTATAGATTGACTCTAGTGTATAAGATGTCATTGATAGTTGTGTAACAAGTGCGAAGGATACATTAGCACTAATCAATATGGAAGTACCTTTGGATTTGGCAGAGGAGGTAGCATGGAATTGGTGCGGATATGCCGCTTGTAACAGGGGCGGTGGTGATTAGTCCTAAAATGTGTCTCCTGCAGACATGCTACACCAGCTGTCTGTGCAGACCAATGTGTTTTAAGGATCACAGTCCAGAGGTTTGCAACTGTAAGAGAGGCGAACCCAGTGCTAGCAAATACAAAAAATATAAGTCCTGTGCTCACTCCCATCACTCCTGGCCATGACCACAGTACACATCAACCCCAATATATAGTAAAAACCAAAGGGAAATAAGTTACCTGCGCTCTCTCCTTAATCCCTATGTATATTTAGACAAATGGAGGTCACTTAGTTACTCCAATGGCCATTGGAAGGAATGCCTGCCTGCCAATGTCAAGGCAGACCCCCCTACACTGGGGGGGTCTGGGAGGTCTGCCTTGACGTTGGCAGGTGGGCATTCCCTCCAATGGCCATTGGAGTAACTAAATGACCTCCATTTGTCTAAATATACATAGGGATTAAGGAGAGAGCGCAGGTAACTTTTTTTTCTTTGAACCCAGTGCTAGATTCCTCCCTTTCTCTAGGTTTCAGTCAGACTATCTTACTTCCCTTTTACAAGACCAAGGATTTGTAATGAATTCATAGGAATCATAGCCAGTTTCCACTCAGTGATCTTTTTCTGGGTTTTGTACTGAACAACAGGACTATGTCACTAGCAATCCCTCAGCACAAATTGGACAAGTTATTTGTACATCTGACCTCATAACTAAGGCCCTTAGGCCAAAACGTTGTATCTTTTTTTTTTTTTGTTCTTTTGATCTCCAATAAATATATACTATGTTGTGATGCCTGTGAACCTCTATTTTTAGTTGGCACAACTGGCCTCTTCTCACAGGGGGCAGAGTTGGTCTTTGAGAGATCTGGCAAAGATTATCTGGAATTAATAGCTTTATTTGGAGGCTCTTTGTCTTTTATCTTGGCCGTAGCAGACAAAGTTCTGTTTTTTGCACATGTTCCTGGAGAGGTAAACAAGCTGGCAGATTCTCTTTCTTGCCAGTATCCAACAAGTATATTCCAATGGATAGAAAGCAATGTTGGCCATAGACAAGTAGATCCCAGACTTCTGCATAAACTCCTAGGTTTTTCTCCAGGATTTGGACAAAGGAGGAAAAAGGGGGCTTGGAAAAAGGGAAGCAATGTCTCTCCAGAGGACAGAGGACAGATGTTCCAGCCCCTTATATTTTTCCCTCTCCAGATGAAAGAACCGCAGAGAAAGAGTACAGAGTTTAGTACTCGTTTACCCAATCTGGACATCCAGATTCTGTTATCCATCAGTTAGTCAAGGGAACCACAGGTGTAACTAGAAACCACTGGGCCCCGGTGGAACAATTGACCCGGGCTGTCCCCCCCACACACATGTTTCATTCCCTCCCCCAGCTCCTCCATGTGTCTAATTTCCTTCCCACGCCCCCCATGTTTCTCCTTCCCTCCACCCAGCCCCTCCACGAGTCTCATTCTCTCCCTCTCAGCTACTCCAGCTCATTTCCCTGCTCCTCTCTCAGTCCCTTCATTTGTCTAATTTCTCCACCTCTCCATTTGTCTCATTCTCTCTCACCCCCATCGAGCCTTCATTAACCCCCTTTGCCCCCTACCCAGCCCCCACTTCCATCTATCCCTCATTATCCCCACATCCAGCCCTCACTCCATCTCTCACCCCCCCATCCAGCCCTCATTAACCCCCCTCACTCCCCATCGAGTCCTCATTAACCCCCCTCACTACCCATCCAGCCCTCATTAACTCCCCCTCACCCCACATCCAGCCCTCACTCCATCTCTAACCCCCCCATCCAGCCATCATTTGCCCCCTCATCCTCCTTCCAGTCCTCATTAACTCCTCCCATCCTCCTTCCAGACCTTATTAGCCTCCTTCAGTCCCCATCCAGCCCTCTCTCACCACTTCTTCCAGCCCTCATTAAGCCCCCTCACTCCCCCCATCCAGCACACAATCCCTCTGTCCCCAATCTTCCCCTGTACCTTATGTCTGTGTGTAGCGTGGCCGAGCAATACCCAGTCTGACAGAAAGTGCTCTCTCACTGAGCACTTCCTGTCAGCCACGATGCTGGCCCACAGTCACAGGGGTCACAGCTGTGGCTGGGCCCCCTGGAGTCATGGGCCCAGTTGTAGCTGCGAACCCTGCGACCGTGGAAGGCAAGCCACTGAAGGGAACCAAGATCCCATTGGTCTTGACTTTGGAGTGCTTTCAGGGAACCAGTGATATTTTGCTCAAGTTTCCGCAGCTGATGTAGATTGCAGCCCTTTTTTTGGACCAGGTCCTGTGCATCATTAGACGCAGCGCTAGGGTAAGATATATAAAAACGGTTGAGGAATTCAAAGAATGGAGGGTTTCTTTTCAATCTATTTCTCATAGGTCTGGCACCATTCACTTATATTTAGAATTTCCTACTCTTAATCTGGTTTAGCAGTCAGTACCATCAAGGCCTATGGGACTGCTTTAAATTTTCTTATCCCTAAACTTACTCAAGATGTGTTTGAGATTATTAAAATAATTATCAGTCTGCCGCCCATATACTCCAAGCTGCACATCTACTTGTTACTTATTAACACTTAATACATTTCCTTAAGTTCTTGGATAATACTAAGATTGGTTTAAGATGGACTGCTATTAAGTTGGCATCTCTTTTTTGTTTTAGGCATTGGCAGCTAGAGGAACTGAATCAATTCAAATCCATATTTCAGAACTGTGGCTGTCCTGGACCCCAGGAGAGTTCCATATTATACTTATAGGGAGACAAAAACCTCCCAAATTTACCCAGGTTGGATGGGGTTGGATTTCTATTTATGATCCTTCTTAACCAGGATTATATTTAGTCAGTTTGTTACAATCTAACCTTGATCTATCTGCTTCTGTCAGTATTGACATTCGTCACTTATATATTACATCAAGGAAAACCTTTTGTCCAGCCAAAGTTAATACAATACTTGTTGGATACTTTCTGCTATGACTTTGGCTGGTCTTGACGTTTCTGTGTTTAAAGGTCACTCTATCACGGGTGCCTCAGCTACAAAAGCTGATGCAAAGGCTCCCCCCCTTCCTATTAGTTTCAAAGCTGCCAGGTGATCGCCTATTAAATTCTTTGTTAGATTTTACTGGAGGCCATAAGACTTGGTTTCTCAGGACTAACATCAGGTCTGTGCTATTCTACCCACTATCTTTGCTAGGTGGTTATGCCTCCTGGAAGACAAAATCAAGTTTGCAGGAATCTATGATCTGCGAAAGGTCTTTGTCTCAGGGATGAGTGTAATTACCTAGCAGTAGCGCCTGTTCCAGCATCCAATAGTCTAAGGGTTTAGCCTCATGGTGGTGGTTTGCTTTCTCTAGATGTTGTTTATCTTCCATTTTCTGTTTTTTTATAGATTACAATCTAACTTTCAGACAGGGCCAAAAATCCAAGGACCAACACAAGTAGGAAGATGGGAAGCTAGGCGTATCTTCTTAAAGTTGCATACAAGAATCAGCTGTTAGAGACTCGTTACAATATTGAGTTTTTTTTAATTTTACAGATGTTTTTGTTGTGATTATGTAGGACTCTGCATGTTTTTTGTTTGTTTTTTACATTGTCCACTCATAAACCCATTAACGCATTAAAAAGCTGTTCAAGTAGATTCCACTGGTCTGGTTTTAGGTCAGGATAGTTTGTTTTCCTTCATTCCTTTTGTTTCAGCCTGGACCTGCAGCAGTGTTTCAAGTCTCTGCCCTTTCTTGCAGCTATGTAACAATATATAACAGAGGAGGAGGAGGAGTGAGACACTTAAAAGAAAGGGATGGATGTCCATGACGTTGTCAGATGAAGCCTGTGGAGGTGGGCGAAACGCATCATGTACACGTCACGAGAGAGGCGGACCCGGAAGTGATCACGTGATCGGGACGGACGAAACCAGGAAGTGACTTTCTATCTGCTGTTTAAATGCTTTTATGTGGGTAGCTATGTTAGCATAACCCACCACACGCAAAGTAAGAGTTTTTAACTGTTGTTTTTTAATAAATTGTATTTGATACTATTCAGTTGGAGGTCCTGCCTCTCTCTGTCCTATATTGCACAGCTCTACCAGTTTCCAGTGAGCACACCACTTGGAGTTTTATCAGTGTGGGAATTTTCCCTCTCAAGTGGAGCATTGCGAACCCAGAGCCAGGGGTGATAGGGCTCTGGCCAATATCAGTTTAGCATGCTTTTTTGGTAAATATTAGGTCAGGATAGTGTTTGTTCCTTTGTGTGATGGGTAGGTCGGGCAGTGTTGCAGTTACAGGCCACCTGTGTGTATTAGTTGGCTAATAATGTAGTATGTACTCTTCCATCTTGTCATCAACAAGCTTATGCTTAGATGCTCCCATTTATTTCCCTTTCAGCTTGCTGTTGTAGCTTGCTTTTTTAAAAAAAAATATTAATTAAGACATCATGCTGCCCCAACAGCTTTTGGAAAATTTTTTTGCTCTGCATAGGAGTACAAACAGGCTTGTCATGTCACATCAGCGGATAACAGGCAATTCAAAAGTCAAATTTTACATGTTGTAAGGCAATTAAAAAAAAATGTAAATTTTTATAATTACAGGACAGGCAAACAGAGTATAAAAAAAAGGAGTGTAACATTTCCTCTCTGTGCTATCTTGTCAGTATAGGTCAAATGTTAGACTGTGGTACTTTAGTATTTAGTTAGACAAACTATTACTGGGTGCCAGAGCCGCCATCTGGGGGTGACAACCATGAGGGTTGTCATTGGCCCAGTGGCCCAGGCCCCACGTGTAGCGGCAGAACAGCCGTCAGTGCACCTACACTGGGGCCTGCATGCTTATAGGGCCCATCCTGTGGCCCAAGCATTTAGGGCCAACTGATGGGCCCTATATCTTCAGGAGCCCGAGAAGCGCTGTGGCCCTGTAATAGGGCGACCAGGCCCCATTAAAAATTTCAGCTGTAACTATTGCTGGGAGGAAGTTACAGTGGGTAATTTCCTCCCAGCTCACTGTGCGCGGGAGGGAGGAAGCAGAGTGGAGACCACGAGGAGGGGAGAGGCAGCCAATCCCATTTGGACCGAAAATGGGTCAAACCTGCCGAAAATTACACCAGGGATGCACAATTCCTATCGACAGCCCCTCAACCTGGCACTGCCTTACTGACAGCCCCTCAACCCGGCACTGCCTCATTGACAGCCCCCCAACCCGGCACTGCTTCACTGACTGCTCCCCAACCCAGCACTGCCTCACTGACAGTCCCCCAACCCGGCACTGCCTCACTGGCAGCCACCAAGCACTGCCTCAGTGCAGGGCCGGATTAACATAGGGGCTGATGGATCTGCAGCTCCAGGCCCAGGCCCAAGGAATAGGCCCATTTAAAAAAAAATGTTGTTACTTTTTTTTTTTTTTTTTTTTACACACACTACTGTTAAGTTTGCCACCTGACTGGTGTTTTACCAGCACAGCCGGTATTTGAGGTTGCCTGGCCGTGCCGGTATTGCAGTAATACCGGCAATACAAATGCAGGTATTTTTCTCAGTATAAACGGAGATTACTCTGCAATACCAACACTAACCAGTAGGGGTCACTGTATGTGGAGAGAGGCAGGGATAGGAAGTTACAGCATATCACTCCCTGCCTCTCTCTACTCACTGATCCGCAGGGGAGCAGCTACACAGCACAGAGAGGCCAGACAGCAGCTCCCAGCCAACAGAAACAGCCTACAGCTCAGGTAAGTGAAGGATGGGGGGAAAGGCAGCAGGGAGACATGGGGACACTGAGACACTAGGGGACAAATGGGGACACTGAAAAACTAGGGGACACTGTGAGATATGGGGATGCTGAGACACATGGGGACATTGGGAGACACACTGGGACACAGAGACACATGGGACACAGTGTCCCCATGCCTCCAAGCCAGTGTCCCTATTGTCTCAGTGTCCCCTAGTCTCCCAGTGTCTATGTCCCCATGTCTCTCAGTGTCCCTAGTGTCTCAGTGTCCCCATGTCTCCCAGTGTCCCCAAATGTCCGTGTCCCCATGTCTCCCAGTGTCCACATGTCTCCCAGCCAGTCCCTCTAGTGTCTCAGTGTCCCCATGTCTCCCAGTGTCCCTATGTCTCCCAGCCAGTGTCTCTAGTGTCAGTGTCCCCATGTCTCTCAGTGTCCCTAGTGTCCCCAAATGTCCCCATGTCTCCCAGTGTCCCCAAGTGTCTCCATGCCTGTGTCTCCATGCCTCCCAGCCAGTGTCCCTAGTGTCTTAGTGTCCCCATGTTTTCCAGTGTCTGTGTCTCTGTATCCCTAATGTCTGTGTCCCCATTTCTCCCAGTGTCCCCATTGACTTCCTGCTTCACTGGACACTGCTGTTAGGGGGTATGGATTTACTTGAAAGATTAAAGCATAAATTAGAGAGAGATTAGCATAGAGTATGTGTTTTCTTAAAGCTGCATCCTTTGAGTTTCCCTCCAACACCATCTCCATTAGATACTTGACGCTTGAGAGGTATGAATGTTTTAGTGTCTATGGTCGATAAGATTCTTGTCATGACTGCTAGTGTGGTCCAGCACGCAGAACTATGTAACATCTACATAGACCGAACAGAAAATGATAAAAAGTAAACCGGTCCTTAGAATGGCCAGACTAATACGTTAAAAACAGAGAATGGTCAAGGGAGCCAGAAATATACAATACCATTTAACAAGCCAGGTCAGGGAAGCCAGTAATCAGAATAGTCAGGAATAGCCAATGTCAAAATACTGGGAATATCAAAAACAGGACAAGGAAACGCACTCTCAGGATTCAGGAACCAAGAACGAAAACCACGACAGGGCAATAACCTAGGTTAAATATCCCTCTGGCCTCTGACTGCAGAACGTGTGTGTGTGACCCTGGGGGGCAGAGCTATATCTAGCTGCGACCGCATGTTCGGCACCATCTTGAACCCGGGCAGGCAGCCGGGAGAACCCGGTAGAGCGGCTCCCGACTCGCCGCTGAGCAGGTAAGCTCAGTTCGTTTGCGCGGTCGCACTGGTCCGGTGCGACTGCACCTCGCGGTGAGCCGGGGGCCGTGACATTTCTGTAATTAGGCCCCATCATAATTGTCAGCACCAGGCCCACTGGGCTCTTATTCTGGCCCTGTCCATTTGCAACTGCTCTCAGCACTCTACTCTTAAGTCAATGTTCTATTCAAGAACACGCTTTTTCAGCTAAACCATCTCATTTCAGTTTTAATAGTAACCTTTTGTGTGGAACAGTATCAAATGCCTTGGCATAATCCAAGTAGATCACATCCACTGGAATATTCAGATCTATATTTCTACTAACTTTTCATAGAACACCCTTAGGTTAGTTTGGCATGACCTATCTTTCATAAAACCATGTTGACCCCCCCCCCCCCTATAATGATATTGTTATTCAAAAATAATTCTTGAATAATACCCTTACCAGCTTTTCAAATACATTCCCAACCACAGATGATAAGCTCACAGGTCTGTAGTTTCTAGGTTGAACTTTTGAAGAAAAAAAAAAAACACCACATGTGCTTTTCTCCACTCCTCCAGTACAATTCCTAAAAGAAAAGAATCCTGAAAGATTAAAACCAGTAGTATGGATATTACTACCCTACACTCCCTAAGTGCTTGTAGGGGAATACCATCTAGCCCTGGGGCTTTGTTTACTTTAAAGGAACACTATAGTCACCTAAATTACTTTAGCTAAATAAAGCAGTTTTAATGTATAGATAATTCCCCTGCAATTTCACTGTTCAATTCACTGTCATTTAGGAGTTAAATCACTTTGTTTCTGTTTATGCAGCCATAGCCACACCTCCCCTGGCTATGATTGACAGAGCCTGCATGAAAAAAAAAACTGGTTTCACTTTCAAACAGATGTAATTTACCTTAAATAATTGTATCTCAATCTCTAAATTGAACTTTAATCACATACAGGAGGCTCTTGCAGGGTCTAGCAATCTATTAACATAGCAGGGGATAAGAAAATCTCAATTAAACAGAACTTGCAATAAAGAAAGCCTAAATAGGGCTCTCTTTACAGGAAGTGTTTATGGAAGGCTGTGCAAGTCACACGCAGGGAGGTGTGACTAGGGTTCATAAACAAAGGAATTTAACTCCTAAATGGCAGAGGACTGAGCAGTGAGGCTGCAGGGGCATGTTCCATACACCAAAACTGCTTCATTAAGCTAAAGTTGTTCAGGTGACTTTAGTGACCCTTTAACTCCATGTAATTGTTATAGCACTTTATCCTGAGTTCACCAATCACCTGTTTGCTTTAAGGCTCATGTAACAGGGATTTACAAATCTTCAGTCATTAATTCTTCTTCCCTATATACTGAAGAAAAAACATATTTAGAATGTCTGCCTTGTTCTGATCCTTCTTGATTAACAGACCCATCTCAGATTCCAATGGGCCAACACTTGTACTCTTAACACGTATTCATTAATGTACTTAAAAAACTTTTTAGGATTGGTCCTGCTCTTTTAATTTTCTAGTTTAGCCCTACTCACATTTTTATATTTGTTATAGGATACTGTTAGCCCCTCTAACTGAAATGTTTTGAATGCCCTTTTAACAAGCCACAGTGGTTTTAATTTTCTTCTCTTGTATTATTTTCCCAAAGATATGTTACTGAGAAATGCATTTTGCAGAATTTGTTTAGAGACCTTCCATGTGTCCTCTGCTTTTGCTATTGAATAATTACTGCCAGTCCATTTATCATAAAGATGCACTTATCCTGTTGAAATTAGCCTTTTTAAAACCAAGCATTTTTGTACACTATTTCTCAAGTGCTTCCAAACATGAATGTTTGAAAATAGGTCAACATTATTAGTTATTACAAGATCCAGAGAAGCATCTATTTTAGTTGGCACTTCTACTAATTGAGACATAAGTGCTATTTATCAGGATCAAAAACATGTTTCCCTTAAAAGTGCTACTAGTCCCTCTGGCCCAATCATGTCTG